AAGTTTTTTTGTAGACATCACAGAAAAATAGGAGTTTGAAAGAGGACAATGATGTACAATCTGGCCTAGGATAGACACTATTCATGGTGTATAAGGGGGAGAAGGAGAGAGTGGTTCAAAAGATCCCAGTGAACAATTTAAATGGCAGCAGTGTCTGCAAAAACTGTGAATTTTAACCGAGTAATGAAGAATATTTATGGAAAGTTAATTTTAATTTGTGTGAATAGTCACACCAGAAACTTGACCCTAAGAGCTATAATCACCCAGTCAAGGAGAAGAAACATGCCAGGAGACCTATGTGTCCAGTCAAAACTAACCCACCATCTAGAAGTTTGAATTTCAAATACTGAATACTCACAATGAACTGCTTAAAAAAAGAGCTACAACCAAACATGATTTGTACCATTAATTCAGTCAGCAATTTCAAATAAATGCATTTTAGAAAACTGTAAGTAGTTGCAAAGAGAAAAAAAGGCAACTTTTTAGAATAATGATTCATAATGCAATGTTCATCTTGCTTCGTTCCCAGTCTTGCAGAGACGTTGCATTTCTAATTCCATAAATTCTTCTCACAGCACCCTAGGATACGGATAAAGATCTAGCCCCACACGTTGCACTTTATTCTTTGATATCCTTTCAAAGCTCCAGGACCAACCAAAAAGCAATGGTCTTTATCAAGGGTAAAACAAGGTCAGCAAATGCAATCATTTACATGGCAGAATGTGAGGTTTTCTGGAATATTAAGCCAAATACCTCCATGAGCTGTCATTTAACCTTAAGATGCAGATAAAATAAAAAAATCATGATAAAGTACTAAGTAGCTACTTATTTTACTAAACAGATCTAGGTAAAGTACAGAGCAGTGAGTTGCAGTGTGACCAAGAGTTACCTGATTAAGTTGTATTTCTTAGGCTCCACCAGTAGGAGATAAAAGCAGCTTAGAGTGATCATAAGGTTCATTTTCAAAGCATAGAATAGCTTATGGTACTACACAAGGTTATGCTAGAAATGGTACTGCACCTTCTATGCTTAGCCATCAATTAATCTCTTCCCCAACATTCACTGATCACACAGATTCAAAGTTTTGCAGTTCAAATATAGCTCTATATAGAATGATAAAAAACTTGCAAGAATAAAGGGGCAGTTATGATTAAACAAATGGGACAAGCCAAACTCAGGCAGGTAAAACATTCAATGCATGTGTGAACAACAGCATGTCAGGGGCCAGACCAATTACAGAAGAAATGCACAGAAGCTCCAGGTGATTACATGACACATTTTTTATCATTGTATTAACTAAAATATTGTCATTGTTCAAAACTCTCAGACAGTCAGTTTCTTTATGGGAGCAGCAGCCTCCCACAGTCCTTACAGCACACTATACACAAAGAGCTGTCTCTGAGATTCACTGGTAGATCTGCAAAGGTTTATAAAAGTAATTTCCATGTAGCCCAAACTCCCCAGGAGCCTCCATGTCTAATTGCTCAGAAAGCCCATGTACAGCAGGTAAAGGAGACAGGCTCAGCTTCCAATTTCTCCCTTTATACAGCTTGCATGTTGCTTCAAAACTCAAAGGCCACCAAAATCCATCTACAAACATATTCCTTCCAGGCTAGCAGCAGACCTTGGTGTAATTTACTAGTGGTCCTAGAGCAGCGATCAGGGAATTGAACACGATCTCCCACAAGATGACTAAGGATAGGTCTATACCATAATCAGGGGCTGTGCCTGCAGTACATGTAAAGATATCCAAATTAGCTTTTATCTAGCTAGCTCATGTACTGGTAGCAGTGAAGCTGTGGCAACGCAGACTTCAATGCAGGTTAGCTGCCCTGGATGGGCTTGTACAGCCTGCATTGAAGTCCATGCTGCCACAGCTTCACTGCTGTTGGTATGAGAGCTAGTTAGATTAAATCTACCTCAGGTATGTCTACACACACTACAATTACAATCTCTGAGTGCAGAAAGCATAGTTTTATCACAGCCTCAGGCAAATTATATAGGTCTACATTTCAAAAAGTGTACTATCATTAAAGGGATCTCCTTTTAGACACTTAGGGGCTGATTTTCAGGGATGTGGACACCTCTAAATGCAAGCAAAATGGACTGGAGATGTGGGTGCTTAGCACCTCTAAAAAGCAGGCAGTGGGCTCAACATTGCCAAAAGGGGTATCTGATTTTGGGTGCCAAACTTCACACGGGCTATAATTTGCACCTACCAATCCTAGTAGCATCTAAAGGAGTTGAAAGTGCTAAACACTTCTGATAAAATCATGCCCACGATGGCTCTGAGTAGGTGCCCTAAATCTGAGGAATCCAAAACTAGACCCACTTTTGAAAGTGTAGCCCTTAACATCGGCCTCAGCTTCCCTTTGTGTAAAATAGGGTGATATAATAACTAACGTAAACCGCTGCTAGGAGAGATTAGTTAAAAATAATTGTAGGCACTTCAAAAAGGAAACTGTTCCACCCCTCTCAGAAATAAGAAAGGAAACAAAGAAGCTAAACAAATCCACAGCAGGAATTAAGAGCACTTACCAGCTAGAAAGAAAGGAGATGCAGCAGTCAGTTGCAAAATGGCCACCATAGGGCTGCAGCTGCTTGGCTCCAACAAATTTAAAGGGCCAGACCCAGAAAAGCATACAGGGGAAAAGTTCATATATGAAGACAACCATGTAATAGAAAGAGTTAGTAGTGGCAATGTAATCACAAAGGGAAATGATCTTGGGAAAGAGTCTGCTTTTGTGTATTGCACTCAATAACTATATAATAGCAATAGTATTAAGTACCTGTTTTTCATTACAGACTTTGGCCTTGGTGACTTCCCTTCATCTTCTTTTCCTGATACACAAACTTTAAATGCATTCCTGCTAAAACATTCACAGTGCATACAATATTTGCATAACTATTCCAGTTTTACCTGTAAAACGTACATAGGCATAGTAATATCTTTTGCTGAAACTACACATTTCAATATTGTAGAGTTCTTTTTTATTATTACATAGGGCTCTTTTAGAAGGAAATGTACACAGATAAGTTAGAGGTTAATTGACTCCTGATTAAATTATATTTCCAGTTACTAATAATAGACCAAAGACTGAGCAGTTAAGTAAAAGGTTATAGCACTACAATGATTAAACTATGCTTAGCAACTACCAGTGAAAATACACTGTGCCACATTCATCCATGGTATAATGCGATTGGCTTTGGTGGAGTTAGAACAGGTATTAATTTAGCCCATTTACTTTGTTATAAATTTCTCTGATGAGTGATATATTTAAGAAATGCTGAGGAGACTAAGAGAAAACACTAATGGAGTGTAATAAAGTGTGAATTTTGATATTGAGAAATTAATGGTAATTTCCTATTTCTGCTGCAGTAAGTGTGGTTATTAATTACCACTAATTTTTATTTCTACAATTTAGTAATTAATTATTTTAGATGTGGTGAGTTATTAATGCCTGAAAGACAAAAATGAGGTAAATGGCACTTCATTTAAAAAACACATTCTTGTTAAAAAGTCACCATTTGTTTAGACTGATTTTTGCCTCTGTTCAATTTAACTTGACTGAACCTTCTTGATACACTCGTTTTCACTGCACATGTTTATTCTAACTGGATCACAAGGAACTAGTGATACATATGGGTCAGAGTTCTACCTCTCCAAAGCCACATGTCCCTATGGAAAATAATTGGGAGTCACATTTGATTTTTTTTAAATAGACACATGGTGCTCCATTGGGGTCAATGGCAAGCACTCAAGTAGAGCTTATTGAAGGATTATGGCCTAAATTGATAAGAATAGCAATGTTTAATTTAAGGTGCTACTAGTACTCCTTTTCTTTTTGCGACTGTTTAATGAGAATCTACATCAAGTGTCCACATACAAAGTGTTTTAAAATTCACAATATTAGGGTACATTGATACCTAACAAACAAAAAGATAGCATTTAATTCAAGAATTGTCTGTTATCCTTTCAATTTTCTCACCTTCTTTCCCCACCTGTTATTCTTTAAAAGCGTTAACCAGACAGTAATTAAAAATCATTGCCTCAACTCTGTTGAGAAACTTTCAATTGTCAAATCACAATTCTTGTTTTACACTGAGGCGAAAGCATGTTCAGGATGGAGGAAAATGGACTTTTTTCCTTCCAAAGGATTGTCAAGTATTATATTCCTCTGAACATACTGTCTCATTGGAAAGGAAATATTCATACTGGACTCCAAATCTGCACTGGCATGTTTGTTTTTATAACATAAACAATTGTGAATTTAAGGTGACATTCTTCAAAATTAAAAAGAGAAAAGATCCATTCTTATCTTTAATGCTGGCTACTTATTTCTTTAGTGTTTGAGAGTTAAAAAGAGCCCTCAAAGCAAACACTGGATAAGGAATGCTTCTTTTGGCATCTTCCTTGACCAGTTAGGAAAGGGCTGATAAGGTCTGATTAAAGTCATGCCTCACATTTTAAAGGCTAAACCTCTTGATTGGAGGTTAAGTATCCATCTGCGTCATTTACAAAGCACACATGACAAATCTGGATTGTTTATTGTAAACAATATTTTCTTGGCTACAACTGGTGGCAACCACTCCTGTTAATCTTCTGCTGTTTCCTTCTTTATGTGAGTCTGTAAAAGTAGGAAGATTATCATAACACACTAGCAAGCAGCCTGAGATGACCTAACTTTATTTCCTTTCTAAATTTAGACTGGTTGCCTGAGAAGGCATTTTTGTCACCTCTAACTGGCTTAAAATTACTTTCAGGTGGTTCCTAAAGAAGAAAGATCAAGGACAGTTTACGGAATTGCTGTACCACCCAAATACTCTAGAGATGCACCTTCAACTCTGAAGGACTTTCCATCATTTGCCCTTTGGAAATGCCTGGTTTAAGCTAGATGCTGAATCATTTCCTGTAGGTCTTTAAACACAGCAAGCTGTGTGAAGTTGAGGGTTAGCAGTATTTAGCATTGTTTAAGTAGGTGTTTCAGAAACTTACTGACCATGGGTGTAGTGGTTTCATTTTTTCCCTCTCTCTGTCTCTCTCCTTACTTAGTTCCGGGTTTGGGTTTGTTTTCTGAGGAAAAACAAAAGACCTTAGGGAAAAGAGCACAGAGGACAGCTGTAAGTGACAGATAAGGAATAGAAAGGGAAGTACCAAATGGAGACATCTAAGTCTCATGGACCCCTCAATCCCAGCACATCATAGAAAATATAAATACCAGAAAGGGTAAATTAAATATGTCTGTTCAACAACCTCATGGAAAAAAGTCACTCTTAAAGGAAACATTACAAATTATTTGATTCTAGGAATTTTAATCTATCAGCTGTTTCATTGTCACAGAGCTTTCAGTAACAATGAAAGCAATATAAGAAAAATCCAAGCGCTTTGAGTCCTTGTTTCTCTATTTGATTTCAAAAATAATTCAGGCTTGATGTCAAAATAATAATAAGTGTTCCCACAAATATGAAATATTAGTGATGGGCCTTTCCCCTCTGTGTTTTTAATCATTATATTGTAACCAAAGGGAGAGGAAGTGTTTAATTGTTTTATTAAATATTCATTTCAATGGCTGTAAATAACAACATTAAAACAAAAATATATTACAAAGATAGGCTTATATCTCACTCTATCTCAAGACAAATCCAGTCATAAAGCATGATCCCTCTTGATTAATACCGCTGTAGTGTTTACTCTTCTATTAGTAGTACAGTGATACTGTTTCCTGTATCACTGAGATGTTTATTGTTCTTCTGTGTATTTTTGACCATTAATGTTTTATCCTAAGCACCGCTCTATCTGCTTTTTTTGGTAACCATATATTCCACTTTATTTGTATATCGCTGAATTTTTTGATAAAAAGTATTAACATAGCAGCAACTGTTAATTGACAGTGTGAAGCCAGAGCAGTATTAAGTAATTCTGAAAACTCCCTTTGCTTACTAGGTTCAGAACCTAGTTCACTACAAGAAGAGTTACACTGACTTTTTCAAGCTGTTTGTCTCAGACAAAAAACATCACTCATCTCTTAGTGGCAAAACTAGCCCAGTCCTCCTGTGGCCACAGAAGGCCAAGTGCAGCAGAAGGGTAAAGTTCCACCATGTAATGGGGATACTATATGTGAGGGAGACCTACAGCCCCCTCTGCACAGCTCCTTGTGTGTTACTGCACAGGGGACTGGAAGATACAGGGCATGCGTGTGCCAGGGGGATCCACTACTTGCCCAACATTTCAACTCTTCATGGTGAGGAGGCCACATAATGTGCTGTGTGGGCTACGTCAGCCACTGGGCTGAAGTAGCTTCCACAGATGGCTCTGGAGCTATCCTGTGGGCTAAGAGGGAGGTCTCCTCTATGCACTTCCTCAGCCTCTGACATCAGGATTTGTCCCTTTTATGTGGTGGGACACCAAAAGCCATGGCCTCTCAAACCTTCCCACCCACAAAAAAATGGCTTCTTGGAGAGAGTCTCCCCTGAAAACATTAACAGAAGATATAGGCACGAAAGAGAGGCTTGGGGTTCCTCTTGAAGATCAAAGATGAATGGGGTCAATCTCAAAAAAGACATTACAAGATTAGATTAGATAAAATGTGGATATTTGGGTGGGATGGGGCACATATCCAAATTGTATCTGAACTGTGAACCTTTTGTGGTTCCCTGATCACTGTTAACCAATTCAACAGAGAAGTAACAAAGTTAGGGCTGAAAACATGAAAAGAGAATATACTGTACTCTCACAATTGACAGAAGAATGATGCATATAATGTAAGTAGAAGACTACTGTAAATTCACTACAGTGCTAGGAAGAAAAAGCAAAAAAGAAAGCAAATAATATTTTGGGATATTTACGTAGGCATAGTGAACTCTAGATGGGCTACAGGAGCTAGTCTCCTTCTGTCTCTGTACTTTCCTAATAACTACTCAAAACATGCTCTTGCTACATTTTTCTCTCTGTGGTCATTCTAATCTATTTCTTTTCCTCAGTTCCCTCAGTTCTATTCAGTCCCTAACCACAAAATAAGCTTGGTGTTGCAGAGAGGAAGGTGATCTTGTGCTAAGGCACTGGAGTGGGACTCAGGAGGTCTGGGTTTAATTTCTGTTTTGCCACAGAATTCGTGTATAACCTTGGGCAAGTCACTTAATCGCTTTGTGCCTCAGTTCCCATATGTAACACTGTGATTATGATAACTTCCTTCTTTCCACTGTCTGTCTTGTCTATTTAGATTGTAAGCACTTTTGGGCTGGAGCTATATGTTTGTACAGCACAATGTGGCCCCAACCTTAATTGGGCTCTAGGTTCTATATGAATATAAATAAATAATTCTCATTTATTTTAATGCTCTGACCTTCCTCAGAAGCAATGATCTATACATTTGAAGGCTAAAATGTAAATCTGGTATACAAAGTTCCCACTTTTCCCCACCATTGATGAATACATCTGTGGAAACTTACTTGAATCCCAACCCATAGAACATATCCTCTTTATCTAGTAATTTTAAATATCACTTTTCCACATGTTTTAGGTACCACTTCTTTATATTCTTTTCACCTACCCATCTATCTAGTGCACATGATGCTTCCAGGCAGTAACTGGTAGAGATTGGAACATACGTTTGTCCAGATTGGATTTCAATTTGTATCTCAGTTGTTAACACCTTTTTATTAGTGACCTCTTCCTCTTCCAGCAGATGTCATTATGCAGCGAGTAGAAAACAAAGCAGGCAAATAATGTATTTCAAAACAGAAGCACCGGAAAATGTTTGGGTACCTTCAAAACATTTACTAATCTTGCAGGATTTTTTTGTACACTAGATAAAAACACATTGTCTAACCTTTTTCATATTCTGACCTATTTAAAAATACGTGTTTCCTTATTTGCAAATGCTACAAGAACAAAATGGGTAACTTTTGAATGCAAAAATTGCCATCATGTTAAAAATTTGCGGGCTGAGCTTTCAGAGTGTGTCTCATTTTCATTTAATAACATTATCTACGAAGGAAACATTTCATCACTATTAAAATCAGTCACCTCCAGGGTGGAGCACAGCAGCTGTTTTCCAGCCTGCAAAAACACTGTTCAAAATCTTAAAACAGGAAGTGAAGAAATATAAACATCCAATTGAAACAGCAAGAAAAATGTGGGTAGGCAGAATATAACAATTACCCAGATTTAAATTGCAACAGGACATAGAAATTGACGACCCTACTATTACAAAAAACAGACATAGGATGTTTAATGAATGCAAGTGTTTGAGACCTTATTTTTACATGTGATCTGAAAGACGATGGGCTCAGTCTTGCGGTATGCTGAGTTCACATTCAGTGCAGCTGAGACACCACTGGGACAGAAAGATGGCGCTAAACTGGAGGTCCTGGAGTAGCTGAGCACCCCTCCCTTTCCCCCCACAAAAACCCTACTCTAAGCAACACTGGCAGCCAGCCACTCTTATTAGTCCTAGTTGTATTATTTGTATTGCAGTAGCACCTAATAGCTCCTGTCACGGACCCCATTGTGCCAAGCACTGTACAAACACAACAAAAAATGGTCCCCAACCCAAAGAAGGTACAATATCACTAATTAGCTGCTGTGCTGGCTGAGAATGTGGTAGAGTGCCATGCACTCTACCCTGACTTCTCTGCCCTTTATACATCCACTCCCTGCTATTCCAAGTCCCTAAACAGAGTGTGGGAATGGATGGCTTAGAGCCAGTTATGCTGGCTTTGTACCACTTAGGGATACCCTGAATCATGTGGATTCATCCCTCCTTTTCCAGCATCATAGTGCCACTTAACACCTTGTCAGAGTATTTCAAATGAGCCAGTGGGAAGAGTGCCACCTATGGAAACACCAGCACTGTTGTCAGCAGCATTCCTAACCAAATCATCATCAATTCTCAGAAAATTCATTCTGTGTCCAAACAGTGAGTGCTGTGGGTTTGGGGAGGATAGGCTGTATTCTTCATTCATAAAGACAAGGTTGAGTCTCTTCATTAAGTGCAAACCTCAACTCAACCTTATCTGTGGAGTCACAGTGGATGCCCACACCATGCTGGCCCTTTTTCATTGTGTAGACTTTATTGTGGATAAATGTGTCAGTTTAAAATTAGTTACCGTAACATAGACGTGGACATGTGGCTCTAAAATATGCTATTTTGAAGACTACTACTTTAAAATATTAGAAAGACCCCACAAGAACTCTTTTAAAAACACCTTTTCAAGTGCTGATTTTTGCAGCCTTTTGTAAAATTCAGGTGAATGATTCATCCAATCGAGGGCTCATGTAGTTTGTACTTGTCCAGTCATGCCATTCAAATTCTTTTGGTGGATGTATCCTGTAAATAAAGAACAATAACACTATTCATTAGCTGATGAGTCCCCTAAAATTAAGTAGAGTCTACAATGATAGTTTGGTATAAGCTGCAGTTTCAGATCTATTTCTCCATAGAAAGGGGAGGGCTGTGAACAATTAAAAATATAGTGGCTTAAGAGAAATCAAGTTCCATTCAGGTTCATTATACTTTTGTTTTCTGCTCCAAAAGTTAAGATAAAGATTTCTGTAATTCACTGAAGGTCTGGCAACCTTTTGCCTGGAAAGGAAATTGTTTATATGCAATTAAGATCTTCAGACACATCAGCAGAGCTATAACATTCTGTTTCATAAGGTCAGCAACACCATCAATTAAATTAATTCTCTCAAACTATCCCCTGAGTTATTAAAAAGCTACTCTTGACAAGGAGGAAAGGGTGATACCATCATATGCCACTGATGGAAAATATTAGCTTTCTTGTGAGTTTTGTTCGTTGTTTCTCTATAGAGAGAAAAGATGTATAGAAAATATCTCCAGGATATGTCTCCAGTGCAGTAAAACACTCACAGCTGGCCCATGTCAGCTGACTCGGGCTTGTGGGGCTTGGGCTTCCAGGGTATAACATTGCAGTGTAGCTGTTCGGACCCAGGCTGAAGTCTGGGCTCTGGGAGCCTGTGACGGGGAAAGGTCCCACAGCTGGGCTCCAGCCTGAGCCCGAACATCTATGCTGCAATTTTATAGCCCTGCTGCCGAAGTCATCTGACATGGGCTAACTGAAGGTGCTTTACTGCAGCATAGACATACCCACACTGCCTTGAAATTGTTTTGAAGTCCTCTCTCTCTGCTTTAGTTCTGTTACGTATATACCTCTTACATGACTTGGATGTTGCTGTACATTCATCAACATTATTTTTCATTACCAGGCACCCACCCAGTAACACAGTAAATACAAAGACTTCTGCTTTATTCTTGCAGTTTGCTTTGAGGGTACATTTATCTATCATTTTGTCAGTAACATATAGGGATATGTTTCAGAGTAGCAGCCGTGTTAGTCTGTATTCACAAAAAGAAAAGGAGTACTTGTGGCACCTTAGAGACTAAACAATTTATTTTAGCATAAACTTTCGTGAGCTACAGATCACTTCATCGGATGCATAAATTGGAAAATGCAGTGAGGATGTTTTATACACACAGACCATGAAAAAATGGGTGTTTATCACTTCAAAAGGTTTTCTCTCCCCCCACCCCATTCTCCTGCTGGTAATAGCTTATCTAAAGTGATCACTTTCCTTACAATGTGTATGCTAATCAAGGTGGGCCATTTCCAGCACAAATCCAGGGTTTAACAAGAACATCTGAGGAACGGGGGGGGGGGGTGTAGGAAAAAACAAGGGGAAATAGGTTACCTTGCATAATGACTTAGCCACTCCCAGTCTCTATTCAAGCCTAAGTTAATTGTATCCAATTTACAAATGAATTCCAATTCAGCAGTCTCTCGCTGGAGTCTGGTTTTGAAGTTTTTCTGTTGTAGTATCGCAACTTTCATGTCTGTAATCGCGTGACCAGAGAGATTGAAGTGTTCTCCAACTGGTTTATGAATGTTATAATTCTTGACATCTGATTTGTGTCCATTTATTCTTTTACGTAGAGACTGTCCAGTTTGACCTATGTACATGGCAGAGGGGCATTGCTGGCACATGATGGCATATATCACATTGGTAGATGTGCATGTGAATGAGCCTCTGATAGTGTGGCTGATGTTATTAGGCCCTGTGATGGTGTCCCCTGAATAGATATGTGGGTACAGTTGGCAACGGGCTTTGTTGCAAGGATAGGTTCCTGGGTTAGTGGTTCTGTTGTGTGGTATGTAGTTGCTGGTGAGTATTTGCTTCAGGTTGGGGGGCTGTCTGTAGGCAAGGACTGGCCTGTCTCCCAAGATTTGTGAGAGTGATGCGTCATCCTTCAGGATAGGTTGTAGATCCTTGATAATGCGTTGGAGGGGTTTTAGTTGGGGGCTGAAGGTGACAGCTAGTGGCGTTCTGTTATTTTCTTTGTTAGGCCTGTCCTGTAGTAGGTGACTTCTGGGTACTCTTCTGGCTTTGTCAATCTGTTTCTTCACTTCAGCAGGTTGGTATTGTAGTTGTAAGAATGCTATCTATCCAAATATACAGGACAAGCCTAGAATTCAGTTAAGAGTTTCTGGTGCTGTCACTTACTGTAATACTAGAATATCTCTACTGGAATGATTTCAGCTTTAATATCTTAAGAATCTCAAAGTATCTTCAACTATCTTCATCTGTTCGCAGAACCTTCTGTGGTTTGTCTTTCCTTATGGACTGTGCTTCACAGATGGTAGATAAAAGACTTTCAGGACTTGATCAGGATATGAACAAGGACAGTCATGAGGATGGATTTTAATTGGCTGGCCGCAGCTTTATTAAAATGTAACATCAGAGAGGAGCACTATCTGCCCTGCATCCCCATTCCATGTGTTTTAGGTGGGTCTAGTGCAGGGTTTACAGGGCACCTATCATGTAGCCCGTAACTCAGGGTAAACTCCACTGCTTTCCTCAAGAATTCAGCTTGCTCTGTTAAATCCATTCACCTTTCCCACTGCAAAAGAGACAGAAGATACCAAAGAAGGACCCCAGTTTGCAAGGACTCAGGTTTCCCTTTTCCATAGTCCTGGGGTCCACCAGCAAAATCCTGTGTCAGTGTGGATGTCTCAACTGGCTCTGGGTAGCCAGTGCCAGGTTGGATCTTTGCCAGTCTAGATGCTCGTCTCTGTGGGGTTGGACCTGCCTGACCTATGCACTAGCACCCACAGCCGTGCAAAGATGTCGTTTGTGAGGAGGTGGAGATAATCAGAAACTCTCTGAGCTGTTCTGCTCCTCTCCAGTCACCCCACACAGAGGCCTCCCTATTAGCCTCAGCAGTAGTTTCTAGTCCAGTCTGTGTCCATTACTGATTCCAAGCATGCTGGGAAATGGTGTCAGAGGGCTCTGGTAGCCATTGGTGTTGTAGTCCACAGGGTAGGACCCCCTAAATCACGGGTTCTCAAACTTCATTGCACCGCAACCCCTTTTGACAACAAAAATTACTATACGACCCCAGGAGGGAGGACCGAATCTTGAGCCAAAGTCCGATCCCTGCTGCCACAGGTGGGGTGGCAAAAGCTGATGCCCAAGGGCTTCAGCTCCAGTAGGGAGCCTGTAAGCTGAGCCCCACTGCCTAGGGCCGGGTAGCAGAGTTCGGGCTTCAGCTTTGGTCCCGGGTGGTGTGTCTCGGGTTTCAGCTGTGGCCCCGGGCCCCAGCAAGTCTAAGCCAGCCCTGGTAACTCCATTAAAATGGGGTCACAACCCACTTTGGTGTCCCAACCCACAATTTGAGAACCGCTGCCCTAGATGGTCAATCCAGAGTTCCAGGAGCTGGCAAACACGAAATGGAGGTCGCATAATTTACAGAATTATTACCTTTTAAAATTGTTGTATTAAATTACACTGGGGGGAAGTTATAAAAGAAACATTATCAATGCTACATCTATTCCAAATAAAAAACTAATGAATGAGAATAATTAATGTGCTGTGGACACACAGCCCAAGTGTTACAAATCCCCATGTTGTTTCTGGATGTTGACTACACATAGAGATTATGTATGCACTGTGCTTCCTTCTGACCCTGCATCACGGAGGTTTCTGTGCATTGATTATTAAAGTACTATAAAATGTATTTGAAAATGATTAACTTTCTATAAGTTATCTAGCTACGCTACAGAATGTAATAGGGAATTATATCCGCACTACAGAATTCTCTCAGAGGATTACAAAAACCGGTAGAAAAGATATTCTCTATTAAACACTACAGAATTTTAGAGTAATTACTGTAGAACCCTATTGGCTGCATTGCTATTACAGCCTATATGGCGTTTCCATATAGGAAATATCTGGTGCCCATGAAAAGTGGCACAGCTACGCTTGTTTATGACAGTAATATGTGAATAACGAGTCGATAAGGCTGCCACGTTTTGGAAATCCATACTCCATTTCATTTGAATTTAGGTCTTCCCAGGGTTTCTGGGCCTGCAGGTCACTAGAATGTATCAAAGTGCCTGGGGGTGGGGGGTGAAGCTGGGCTCAGCTACCTGCTGCGGGCATTGCATTCTAGTACACGAGATCTCAACACTGCTCAGGTTTGGGCCAGCTTCTCCTCTGTCATGGTGACAGGGCCGGGGGATGGCCGAGCCAAATTTGAGCAAGTGGGGCTGCAACCACATGTGCCAGCTGGGGTGGGCCAAACCTTAGTGGACCTGTGACCCCATGCATTAGGTCACAAAGCCCAGAGCAGCAAGGTGAGCCTGGCCAGGCCCACAGGACAGAAGCCAGGAAGAAGTGCTCGGTGTCATGTTCTCTGGTAAGTACTGGCTCCCCTATGTACGACCCCACCCTGCCGCTAGATGATACCCCACCTTTCACATACCTCTCCTGCCCCCTAGTCCACCAGATCTTCTTCCACGGCACCTCCAGTCCCTTCTGCTCCCCCAATTTTTACCCCAGTTCCCCCCTCCCCACACTTTAGCCCAAGTTGCTGGTGGGAGGGTTCCCCAGCTGTTCATATCTGGTCAGAGCATCCAAATCTTAGTAACCCAGGCAGTATTCCAGTTCATTGCCCCACCGATGCCACTTCCCCAGTGGTGAGTAGGGAACCTGGGCCTGCCCTCTACTCCAGGCTCCAGCCCAAGGACCCTACAACACACAGCCAAGATCTGTTGAGTCTCCAACCTTGTTGCTTACTCCCTGGGCTGCTTCCTACCCCGGCACTCCCTGCTCTCTGGGGTTTGTTGGCCTCTCTACTCTCTCCTCCCAGGGAGCAACCATGGGCTACTTGTCTCTGTAGCCCCCAAACATGCATCCCTTGTCCCAGAGAGTGACTGCAGACTCCCTCCCTGCAGCCCCCTTCCTTTGATCACCTCCCTGGCTTTATAGAAGCCCCACCTGTTCCCGCACAGGTGAGTTCCCCCTATTTAG